TTGGGCACGACTTCCGCCTCATTTTTACAATGCGAGAACTCTATCTTGTATTTCTAGTATCTTTGCTGTTATTTCTAGTTAAGATGTGAATTGTTATTCAGCCATGGTTAATTATTTTTATTAAACAGTTACTATTTTCCTATATATTTATTTCCATAGTATTAAACTGTATGCCATTCAAAGTAAGGCAAGATTATATAGCATAAATTAACTAGACTTATCATGTTTGCCTAACATTAACTAGACATTATGCTACTGTCAAGAATCATACTATTTAACAAATTTCTATTTACAAACTGTGAGTACACAAACAGTAAGTATAATAAAAATAATAAAACTTAACAAGTAACCTTCATTGTAACCAGGGAGAAAGCTATCTTTTGATTAGTTGGCTGTTGAAAGAACGTCACGCTTCAGCGTATCACAGCCTATCTTTGCAGTTATGCCCTACGGAATTTGGTGAAAATTGTGTAGTTATCCCCTTTTGCCATTCCCCTATCTATCCCGGGGGACACTTTTTTACAATTGTTTTTGTGTCAACATTTGTAACATGATCTACTGACCCCACTAGGCTATATAACTCAATTTCACCAAAAATGTCAGTTATGCCCTTTTGCCATGGGTGGGCAGTGTACTAATATAGACCTATTTATTATTTGATAGGATATTTCAGTGGATATTTCAGTGGAGTGAAGGCCATAATAAAAATAAACACTTAATTTTTTTGTTCTAAAATTTATATTTTTCGTTGCGGAAGGTGCGCTAACTATTCGAAATCACTAAACAAGGTATAAAAAGTCTCGCCTAAAGCTAGCCTGGGTTCCAGGCCCTAATTTTAGTTTACTCACTCTTTATTGCACTTAGTGCGCGCCATACCTAATTTAATTGGCGTCCCATACTCGACGCAGGGCTCCCGGAACGCCGCCCTCAGCGGCGAGTGCGAAGCACAACTCAGGGTCAAAAGTGGAACGTGAAATTTGGATATGGTTTTGTAGTCAGATTTGCGAGAAAAACTTCAGCTACCCGTATTTCTCGACTGAGACGTCAGTGCAAGGTAATTCAACAGAAGGACTCACATCTCCGCTCTCGAACATAGCGCGTGCGTACAGTCCTTTGATCTTTACTGTGGCATCGACAATCCGATACTAGTTGCGAGTACAGCCGTCAATTATTAGTCTATTAGTGCCATTCGTTTTATGGTGTTAGTTTTTATTTTATTAATTTTGGGTACTTCGCTATGTCTGTTACATTTGATTTTTTTTGGCCGCGAGCTTGTTAAATGCTTCTATAAACTGCAATTTGATTTGTGAAAATTGACCAAGAAAATAAAAATTTATAGCAATTTAAAATTTACGAATTTTATAAAATTTCATGTTCTTATGTAACATTAATCTGTCACTTTTACAATGTTGGCATAAGGTGCCGAAAACGAACATTTGAGTATATACAGAACATTTATTAATTTTTTCTGCGAAGTGAGTCTCATGAACGACAAATCGATTTTGAACTCAGCCAAGATTTGACCAATCAAAATAAACCTAGATGTAAACAGAAAATAAAATGCGCGAATTACGAATACGAATATTTCGCGCGAATACTTACGCTAGCGTTCATTAATCGCCCAGTCTTGACATCTCGCTAGTTACGCCGTGGATTAACGTACGCCTGGCGTTAGATACGCATGGCGTATCTCACAGGTCTGAACGTAGCCAAAGATACTAGAAATACAAGATAGAGTTCTCCACACAAAAAAGTGTTCCACCGAAATGCATGGTGGGAATACGAAAAATGGGACGCCTCCTACAGCTGGACAAAAAAAACAACTTGTGCCAAGCATTCGTTACCAAGTCGTCGCGTATTTTATTATCAATTCTCAAATAAGATACTAGATATAAAAACAAACTGGAATAGACACCCAGACAGTGACATCAGTGAATACATAACCTCCTTGGTGGCGGTAGAAATCGTTGCTATTATCCAAATAATACACAAAACAATTAAAGCATAATCATGAATCGGTAAAGAATAAAACAACAATACAGCGCAGAATCGCATGGCCGGACGTACTCTTAAGGCCAACTCAGACAGCGTCGGCCGACGCAGCCCGACGCGATTTGTTGTCGCGTCGGGTCTGTGTGAGTTGAACGCAGACGCGATGGTGTGCGTCGGGGGCAGTCGCGTAGTAGAATATTAAACGTGTTTAATATTTCTCACGACGGCTTAAGACTGTCCCCGACGATAAATCGGGTCGGGCTGCGTCGGCCGACGCTGTCTGAGTTGGCCTTTAGTGAAAAAGTTTTCCTTCATTAGTGGAAAAGGAAGGGCGCCTTTTGCGTCTGGATAAACTTAGCAACAGAAGGGCGCCCTGTACGTTGGGCACGAAGTATAGGAAACTTGCATGGTTAAAAAGAAGGGCGCCGCCTACGTTGGGCACGACTTCCGCCTCATTTTTACAATGCGAGAACTCTATCTTGTATTTCTAGTATCTGTGGTTATAACCTTTGATGTCCCGAGATGTGCGTCCTTCTGTTTAATTGCCTTGGTCAGTGTGAGCTGTAATTTGTATGGCAAGGAGATTAAACAACCCTTCATTCATATTAAGGGAATTTACGCCCAGAAACTTTGTAGTTATTAATATTTTGGTTATAATAGAAAATATTCATTTTTTGGTGACGTCACACTCACATTAGTTAGCATGCATACGTCATAAGCTAGATACGTCACCTTTTCCTGGTAAGGCAAACTTTCCAGGCGTGCTTTTTTCATAGATAAACAAACACCACTGCTTTGCACATGGATGCCTTGCCCAAGCCAGGGCTACAAGAGCCGCATTGTTAGCATTGTATAATACTTAAATAAGGTACCTCTGCAAATGAATTATTCTTAGTTATTTTTTTTTTTTTCTTATTTTAATTTATTTCTTACGAAAGTGTACTTTCTATCACATATAATTCCACTGTCTTAGTTATAAGGCCTAGGCCTAGTCTTATGCCTCATCGTCCCCGCTACACAGTACATCAGCAGCCCCTCATGTAACATTGACATGATTGTTAGCTAACCAGTTGTGTGTATTTCTTTGTGAAAATGAGTACCGCGTCGTACTCATTTTCACAAAGCATTTGCATCCCCTCTTGGAAAGAGGGATTCGAAATAATTGTCTCCATATCTTCGCTAATTAAATTAATCACCGTAATTTAGCTTACACTTATGAATTTAGGGAGCACTTAAAATGTGAAATAATCATTTCACTACCCGACAAACTCCGAACTTTATTCATTCATTGCTGTACTATATACTCCAACATCACCGGCGCATGGTAACAACCAACTGAATGCAGACCATTTCCGGTCACACATTCCATAACACAGCACCCCCTAGTTCCGTCACCTCTGGATTTCTTTTTTTCGAATTATTCTTTTATTCCGTCTCTAAATTAACTTTCACGTTGGTGGTGCTGTCCAGAATGAGAAAAATAATAAAAAATAAGAGACTTGTGGCAAGTCTAGCCTAAAGCTTGCGATCCCTAGGGCCTACTAATTTGGTTACATTCAAACGACCTCGCGTTGGTACTGTATGTATTATTGTATGTACTGGACTGTACTTATAGGCCTATTAGTAGCAGAGGTAAAGCTGTAGGCTCAGCTATGACAGGTAGCCTACGGTACTAAACATTGTTTCTAATACTGTAAAAATGCAACTGCTGTTATAATAAGATCAAGACTATAGTGTCAAGACGAGTGTGCGAGATGCTTCTGCAACTGTCAAACAAAAGTGTGATGACGTAATCATATCATTAGCCAATCAGAGCACTTTACATGTTTTACTATGCTTGGCTCTTCACGAAAACAAAAACTGCATCCCTTAGGAGGTCAAAGACAAACCGTTTAAAAAACCTTTATAATCATCATGACTTGTTCCAAAATTTGTAGTTTTCCCTACACAGTCAAACACCGCGTCTCCCTCCTTTTTTTTCATGTTCTGATGTGTTTTTTTTTCTTTTTGGAAAACTCATTTTGATGTTATACTTCAATCAGTGGTGGCGCCAGGACCTGCCCGACGGAGGGGCTAAAGGCCCCGACGGGGGGGGGCTAGTGGAGCGAATCGAGTCTCACTTGGCTGGGGGTCAGGGGGCCGCTTAGGGCCCCCGGTGGGGGTCGAGGGGGGCGAAGCCCCCAAGAATCCACGGACATTTGATGAATTATGGCGAATTTTTATTACTTATTTTAATAGGCATCGAGTTACTATAATATGACTTCATGTAGGCTATGCTTTCTAATGTTGAAAACAGCTTCCAAAACCAAAACATTTTGAATAAAGCAAGAAACAAATAGTATGCAATGTAACCATCTAATTTATTTTCAAATCCTCATGCTTGAAAGTGAAATTCTATATTTTGGACATTTTGCATGAAATCTGTCAACCACGTTGTCATGGTCGAGGTTGCTTCACCTATCACGATGTATTCCAACCATCATGAGGCTATCTAAATGAGCATTTGTCATAACAGAACGCAAATTATTTTTAATTAGTCTCTTTGAATTATTATTATTAGCCTATTATTATTATTATTATTATTATTGTTATTGTGGTTGTTGTTGTGATGAAAAGTTAACAAACGATATGGTGGCTAAACGAATATTACATGTAAATATTTTTTTTATTTGTTTGTTCTCCGACAAAATTTATTGTCTTCCCCGACGGGAGGGGGGACTAAGCTTCCCCGACGGGGGGTGGCTATAGCGCCACCACTGACTTCAATCTCTCTTTTTAATGGATTGCAATAAAGTATTTTCGTATTGGAATTCGTGGATGGTAATGAGTGATCCAGATTAGTTTTTGTACTTCGCATCTCCACGGTCGATCGAGTAGGCCTGAGATATGTTTGTTTATATATGATTTAATTGTCAAAATTTCGGTCAGAATCATTTTCTTTTTACAAATTTTAAATAATTCCTATGATATATTATATTTCACAAGTGTCAATACTATTGACATTGCAGCGCTGGATCTAACGTCTACTGAAAGGACAACTACTTCAGTACCAACTACGACACATTTAAATAAAACTACCTACATGCCAACTATTGAGTTGAATTTCAGCTCGACTACTGAACAAAATACAAGAATCACAACTCGGTCTAAATCGTCTACACATGAGACAACAACGTTTAATATGCACCCCAAGACTACCACAAAAGGTTAGAATTTACTCGTGAGAAATGTATATGGGAATCTATAATGAGAATGAAGTTATTTCATTATTGATACTTCCATTGTATATGTTTATTTTTATTACATAATGTTCCATCAGGTAACACTCCTCCAACAATCGAATGTCCCAGTGACATATCATCTACGGATACGTCTCCAGATTGGGACGTACCAACGGCGATTGATGATGAAGCACCACTACCAGAGGTCAGCTGCACAAACAATCCTGACAAAGAGTATCAAATTGGATCAATTACAAACGTCACTTGCACTGCCAGAGATTTGGTTGGACAAGAGAGTAGCTGCTCTTTTTACATAACTGTCGGTGAGTTAATTCACGTAAAATATAGTGACATTTATAATATTGTACGTCCTTTTATGTGTACAGAGAACACAGTGTGATTAATAATATGAAATATTATCATTTATTGATTAGTAAGGCTTAACTAATTTACATGTGATAATAGGTAGAATCGTACGAATTATATAGTACTATTTTATATTGTTTTAGAAACATGTAAAATAAAGTGAGATTTATAATACGTCCTTTTCGTATTCAGAGCAATAACAGAGTGTGACCAATAATATGAATTATTATCATTTATTGATTTGTAAGGCTTAACTAATTTACATGTGGTAATAGGTAGAATCGTACGAATTATATAGTACTATTTTATATTGTTTTAGAAACATGTAAATAATAATAATAATATGAAATATTATCATTTATTGATTAGTAAGGCTTGACTAATTTACATGTGATAATAGGTAGAATCGTACGAATTATATAGTACTATTTTATATTGTTTTAGAAACATGTAAAATAAAGTGAGATTTATAATACGTCCTTTTCGTATTCAGAGCAATAACACAGTGTGACCAATAATATGAATTATTATCATTTATTGATTAGTAAGGCTTAATTAATTTACATGTGGTAATAGGTAGAATCGTACGAATTATATAGTACTATTTTATATTGTTTTAGAAACATGTAAAATAAAGTGAGATTTATAATACGTCCTTTTCGTATGCAGAGCAATAACAGAGTGTGACCAATAATATGAATTATTATCATTTATTGATTAGTAAGGCTTAACTAATTTACATGTGGTAATAGGTAGAATCGTACGAATTATATAGTACTATTTTATATTGTTTTAGAAACATGTAAAATAAAGTGAGATTTATAATACGTCCTTTTCGTATTCAGAGCAATAACAGAGTGTGACCAATAATATGAATTATTATCATTATTGATTAGTAAGGCTTAATTAATTTACATGTGGTAATAGGTAGAATCGTACGAATTATATCGTACTCTTTTATATTGTTTTAGAAACTGTCCTATCAGAAGAAATATCGAACCTTACTAAGGTACGTAGGAACAACATCGTAACAATATACTACTTATTGAAGAATTTTGGTCTGTTACCAATTTTAGTATTTAACAATTAAATACATCATCATATATATTCATACATAATATATTCATATTCATACATTATTATCAAACTCATCATCACCATCTGATGCCGTGTTTGTGAACACTAAGAAATTTTTTTTGGTAGCATTTGTCGTCAGTACGTCACAACAGATGTCCTGCCCATTGCCATTAAGTACATGAAATAAATAAATTCCAATCTTTATTTATGTTGCTAGTTTTAGCCACTAGATTCTGTAACTGGAAATTGGAAATTAGGTATCATGAATACAAAAGCTTAATCATTGTTTTTTTAAGTAGTCTATTCTTGCTGTTATGTTAGAACGTTAATGATGAAAATGTTGAAGAGGTTGCAGCTGAACTCGAAGAAATAGTAAAGGAGGCGGAAAACCTTGAACCAGCTGATGTACACGCAGTCTCAAAAGCATTGGAAACAATAGCCAATACCAACTCTTCAAACGAAAATGCAAGTAAAAATTATAAATAAACTTTATAAACTTTTTATCGTATATTATACGATCAATGGAGTTGTAAGTATAAATTCATATATACATCAAACCAGCTTTTTCATTATTGTCCATTATTATCGCTTTTAAAAGAATTTAATTCTTTGTATTTTAAGTTAATGAATCATGTTGATTAATTAATTGATATAAAGTTAAAGTTTCGTCATTTAACATTGACATACTGCTGAAAAATAATTCCAATGATCGCAGTGGTGGGAAACTTACGTTAAATGGTACGGATGCAGAAACACATCAAATGAAACAGAGAACTGTCATTTGTAATCATTTTTTCCCTATAACATTCCCTTGGACTGTAGGTGACAAGTGCAGTCGTCGTCACGGTGGACGCAGTAATTGCCTCTGATTCGTTAGGTTTAGATCTATCACCTAAAACGACAGCTTTAATCCTCGAGTCATTCGAGCAGCAAATCAGCAACGCCGCCACTGATGGCCAGAACTACACCAAGGATGAAAATACACTTTCTGTGCGGACTCTAAGTTTTGATTCAAATCCTAACTCTGATGTTGTTTTCGTTGTTAATGAAGAGAAGAAGCCTAACGTATGTTTTGATGACGTTTGTTCAGCAAACGCCATGAGTCAGTATTTCACTCTTCCAAAGGATCTCCTAACATCATATGGTTTGTTGGTTTACTTTGAAATAAATCCAAACTGCTATACTGCACTCAGATTGCAACTACTGTTATTGCTACTGCTACTCTTGCTGCCCCTAATACTGCTGCTGCTACTGCTGCTGCACTGTTGCTGCTAGTACTACTGCTACTACTACTACTACTACTTCTGCTGCTGCTGCTGCTAATAATAATAATAATAATAATAATAATAATAATAATAATAATAATAATAATAATAGTAATAATAATAATAATAATAGTAGTAATAATAATAATAATAATAATAATAATAATAATAACAACTACTAGAGGGCACTCGGAGAGTTCATACCTCCGCCCACATCATAATTCTCTTCAGTATAAATTTCCCCCGCATATTGTCCCCATAAAATAATAATGAAAAGAAACAAAACACAAGTAGATTTATCGTGATTTGAACCCGAGGCTAGTAGTGTGGAAAACGCTCTTCTTACCACTACAACCTGTTTTCACATACTGTATATCACATTGAAATAAATGGTCCTATGTTTGTTTACACTTCACCGGCAAGCCCGTATAAGCGCGCACACACACACACACACACACTCGTCTATACGGCAAACAGTTATAGAAGTTTTTCGATCGTTGTGTCCTTGACCTTTGACCCTGACTTCAAAATGTAGTCACTTCCAGATCTTTGGTAAAGGAACATTTTGGCCATGTTGGACAAATTTCTGATAAAAGCTGTTTCAAAAAATCGTTTTTTGTTGATGGTGACCTTGATCTTACCCTTCGACATTCAAATAGTTTGAGATCTTTGGTCATGGAACAATGTGATCAAGTTGTAAAGGAACTTTGTGGCCAAGTTTGACGAATTTCTAATACAAACTATGGACTGTAGGCTGTTCACAACAAATATGCCGACAGACAAATAAATGAGTAAATGGGAGCACAAAACATAACCTCCTGCCAATTTCGTTGGCGGAGGTATTTGGTCATGGAAAATTGTGACCAAGTTTGACAAGTTTGGCATTAATACTATGGGCAAATAAATAAAAATATAATTTTCGTTGATTGTGACCTTAATCTTTGACCCTAACCCTTCAAAATTAATCAGCTCTAGATCTTAGGTAAGGGAACATAATAATAATAATAATAATACCGCTGCTGCTGCTGCTGCTATTGCTGCTGCTGCTATTGCTACTGCAACTTCTGCTACTTCTACTGCTACATTCTACAAACACCTTAAAATTACATAGGCCTATGTGGACCTTATCATAATCCATAAATTAATATAATCTCATGATTTCTTTGTATAGAGGGCCGGACGAACATTAGTTTTACTTCGTTTTACAAGCCAAACCTCTTCCAGTCGGGTGCACTAAATCTCTCTAGTGTGATTATGGGAGCTTCCATTTACAACAAGAGCCTTCCGGATGTGTTTAAAAACCCAGTTAAACTTGTGTTTTACGTACCAGAAGTAAGTTTTATGTTGTACTGTTACTAGACTTAAAAAGAAACCAATTCATTATTATCGTTGCAGTAATAGGTAATATTTGTAGATGTAAAGTTAGCAGAAGTAGTTGGAGACAGTGGTGGTTCTACCGAGAGTACAGTATTAGAATACATAATATTATACTACTCTTATTGGTATTGCTCCTTGCGATTCTTTCCGCAGTCATATTCAAACAGCAATGCTTCTTGTGTTTTCTGGAATGCATCCTTAGATAGAAATGGTAATTGGTCAATTGAAGGCTGTAAACGTATCGATACAGGTGATGAGGGCAGCGTAACGTGTAATTGTACACATCTGACACACTTTGCTGTCTTGTTTGTGAGTTCTCGTTTAATTATCATTTGAAATATTAGTTTTATATATATATATATATATATATATACATGCTGTATATGATATATAAATATATATATATAAACAAATAGGAGGTAAATGATATTATTATGTATAATTAAGTTTATATTCTCACTATAAATATAGTTCTACTTTATAACATACACAAATACTATTTATATATACATATAATATGTATCGTTTTTTAATTTCCAGTTTCCTAATGAAATTCCTCATGGAGTTAACCTATTTCTAGAATTGGTGACCTATATTGGCTGCAGTGTGTCAATCGTGTGCTTGCTATTAACAGTAGTAACTTTTTTTCAATAACGTAAGTAAAAATACATCACCAACGTTCATTTCCTTCACATCCAAAAGTAATTGCACTCTCCACTTACAGGATTGAAAGATGTTTTGTAAACTAAGTATCTTTTGAAGCTTAGGGAGTAAAGTTGTTTTTAGTCAAAAGAAAAAGTCTTGTTATGACAAGAATTGAACCATGGCAACCATGTTAACTACTAAGCTATTCAACTTCACGCTACGTTTAGTTGTTTTTTTTAAAATTTATATATCTACATGCATTTATATCATTACGTAATTCCTGTTTGTTGTTATGAGAGCTTCTTACTTTCTTCATTACTTATGTCGTAGGCCTAATATTTAATGGTTTAATGCCAACCCTTTCTGTTGCGGCTTACATGCACATACCTGATAGGTACTTTACATTTACTGGACAATGTATGGTGCATCTGTAAGTAAAGTAAATAATAACATGTTGTTCTTATATAGCACTTCATGCCTTTAACATATTTCTAGAATTGGTGACCTATATTGGCTGCGGTGTGTCAATCGTATGCTTGCTATTAACAGTAGTAATTTTTTTTTTCAATAACGTAAGTCGAAATACATCACCAACGTTCATTTCCTTCACATCCAAAAGTAATTGCACTCGCCACTTGCAGGATTGAACCTCTAAGCGCTTCACATTACTACCCTGGTCATTGGATCAAACACATATGGAACACATTGAATACCAACTTATATTATTGTTCCATAATATTGCAGCTAGTATTCAGCGCAGGTGTGTTGGAACCTACCAGGTACCTACCACTTGTACCCCTGGGTGGAGAAAGACAACCGTAGATAAAGTGCATTGCTAAAGGACACAAGCGATTTGCACAGCGAGAGTTTCGAACCCCCGACCTCGAGGTTGGGAGTCCAAGCCACAACCGATGCGCCAACCGCTTCTACAAGTAAAGAGAAATATACAAATAAAATACATAGAAAAAGAAAAATTTTAAATGTCATAATACAAAGTAATACTGAATGCATGAAGGTAAACGTTATATTACAAAAAGAAGAACAAAACTACTGTCAATTAGTGTATATATGTGACACATCACATGCAGTACCGTACATCATTTTAGGAAAGACAGAAAGACTAGATAATATATAAACAAATAAATAATGTGTATTCTGCTTGTGCTCGTCCCGTATGCTATTAATATCGAACTGGCGATGCACTGCATCGATTGTATTACATTGTACCAATCAAACCTAAAAAAATGATTTAACTAGTGTATGATCTGTTGGTGTTTTAAACTTACAGTACGACCAACAATGAAGCACAGAATTTCGACGTGCTTTTTGACAATTGTGGACAATTTTGTTCTATATGGATTTATTTCGAGTGTTTCACCCTCGTCATTTAATAAATACGGCCCTACACTCCGCTTGCAGACTCTACTGACTTAAATTATCTCTAATTTTATACTTACATTTTAAATTCAGCTTAAATCTTGTGTTTTGGCGTTCTTAATTTAGTCAAGATACGGTACTGTTTGATCGCGTTCTATTAGCTAATTTTGATGTTTGTGGTGTAATTTGGAATTTTGTAGTTTGAACACTTTTCCAGTGACTGCGGCCAATTTAAATTTACTAAGCATGGCAAGCGAGAGTGTAAATCTCCGGTGGATAGCAACATCATTCTGGTCAGCCTAAGATTAGGCCTAGATCATCATTGGGCCTTGGACCTCGCGAAAGACTTTTTGAAAATATTTTGTACTGCATATTATCTAAAAGGTTTTATTACCATTTTAGCTGGCGTATTGTGACTTCTTGTTGGAAAAGTGTTAGACTGTCGTGGACGTTTTAAACAGTTCTTTTTATTATACTTAATATTTTGTACTGCATATTATCTAAAAGGGTTTATTACCATTTTAGCTGGTGTATTGTGACTTCTTGTTTGAAAAGTGTTAAGACTGTCGTGGACGTTTTAAACTGTACGGTACTTTGTATTATAATTCTTTATACTATATTATAAAAATTATATAATAAATGAGGAAAGGCCGCCAATTGGACATACATTAGATCCATGCTCTACTTCTTAACTTTGACTTTAGACACTGTGCCCCATGTCTCTTGAAGAACCTACCTTAAATCTTACGGCATTACGGAAAAACTTCTAAACTGGTTGGCGGCATTCCTTACAGGACGCTCTGGTAGTTGTCGGCATGGTGAAAGTTCTACACAATGTCCAGTAACGTCTGGTGTCCCACAAGGTACCATTGTTGGTCCAACCCTTTTCCTTCTTTTTCGAATGATTTGCTGACGATATCAATCTTTATTGTTCAATTAGTTCACCTGCAAATCGTGTTGATGTAGCTGCATCCCTACAGTGTGTCTTAGGGAAACTTCATGCCTGGGTAAAAAATTGGGAGATGTTGTTTAATACAAAAAAGACAGTCTCAATAACAAATAGTAGGTCACAAACACATCTCCCAATACATCATAGTCTTACCCTTGGCAAGAACCAACTTCTACAAGCAGTTTCTGTATAAAACTGTGTGAGTTAACGATTGACAGGAAACTTATTTTCCAACATTGCTGTAGGCGCAGGTAAAAAGTTAGGACTTACTTCTCGCACTTCCAAATCTTGACGAGAACGGCTTAGTACTGATGTACAAGACATATGTCCGTCCTTTCACCGACTATTGCTCTTAAGTCTGGGAGAGAGCTAGTCGGTCTCATGTAAAACGTGTTGACCGTTTTTAACGCCACTTCTGTCAAAGGTTTTGAATTTATTGTCAAAAAATCATCTGTAATCATCCATATTCGCCGCTCAATCTCTAGTCTCACTGTTTTCAGGTCAATCTTGTTTGATGAATTCCCAAAAGCTCGTTCATCACACCCGTCAGGCATCAAACGCACATAATGTTTCCGTTCACATCCCTCACAGCTCGGGCACTTTCATTGGCAAATTTAGACGGTTATAGAATTGCTTGCCACCATATGTTGTGAAATCCAATTCAAAGGAAAATTTAAAGAAAGGCCTCAGTTCGTTCTTTGACTTATGAGTCATTTTGTTATTAATTACCAAGATGTGTATAAGAGACAGGTACCGTACATCATTTTAGGAAAGACAGAAAGACTAGATAATATATAAACAAATAAATAATGTGTATTCTGCTTGTGCTCGTCCCGTATGCTATTAATATCGAACTGGCGATGCACTGCATCGATTGTATTACATTGTACCAATCAAACCTAAAAAACTGATTTAACTAGTGTATGATCTGTTGGTGTTTTAAACTTACAGTACGACCAACAATGAAGCACAGAATTTCGACGTGCTTTTTGACAATTGTGGACAATTTTGTTCTATATGGAAAAAATAACCATGCAGCTAGAGTGACCAACAATAGTTAACACTTAGATAACTCAGACTGTCAAATTAAATGGTTCAGCATTCACTTCATTTCATTTAATTTATTTCGTCTTTGGAACACAACAGAGATACAAAAAATGAACTATTATAAGGGGTAGACGGTGTGATTAAAAAGTCGAATTAAATCAACTATCTAGTAATTCTCCAACCCCTTGAAAGCTAACATTTAAAAGTAGATAACAAAATAGAATTGAAGAACAGAAAGTATACACAATAGTTAAAATTAACATTCAATCGAAAGACATTAACAGACATTATGTGTTAACATTCAGCAAGTTGCCTTTAAGTAAAACAATGAAATATGAAAATGAGAGGACAAGCGATTATTTAATATTATAAGGTAGTTCATTGAACATCAGTAGGAAAGCATTAAATATATGAAAATGGGCAGCTTTAACTCTAGAAATATTATGCATAAAAATAAGGTGATCAGTGTTTGCGCAAATTCTGAGAGATATAACATTTAAAAGATATGTTGAGTTTCTTATATAAAGCCCTACCAATAAATGTAATCCCTAAAACTTAAACTTAAACTAAAAATTTGTATATACAATAGATGCCTTAGGTCACAAAAAATCCCGATAATGACTACATGCGACAACTGCAAAGTTCCATCAGGAAAATCACAAGGCATGTTTCAATACAGCGTTGGGTTATTTTAATTTTCCAGGTGTCGACTGGAACTCCAGCAATACCCTGAAAATACCCTACACCTAGTAAAATTATGTTATAGAGCATCGGAGCATCATCGCCATCAAATTTTAGCTTAACCGATTAGAAACGAAACCAAAATATTCTTGAACCACGTTTCACGAATAACAAAGCCTTTGTTAACAAGATAGAAGCAACAGCAAACATCAGTGATCAATACCTCGTAATAATAGATGTAGACACCCTGTGGACTAAAAACAATAAAAAGAGCAATGGATAATAATATCTCGCACACATTTAACTCATCAAAACCAAACCTCCCCTGGGTAAATGCTTACATACGAAGGGATAAAAGAAAGAAACGTGGGACATGTTTAAGAACCTCAGACGAAAAACTTAACTGAAAATCAAAGACAATCATCGTGAATTTGTGCGGAATATTGGAACAAGCCTCCATAGTGACAACATACAACTTTTGTGGAACTATATAGAAGTAATACACCTAAACGTTTTGGGTATTTGTCCACTATTATCTGCAGGTAGAATTGTCTCTAGTGCAAAAGAAAAGGCCGAATTACTTAGGTCTGACAGACAGCATGGATTCACAAGTAGTCACTTTTGTGAAACTCACAGCAAACTTCGCAGCAAATCTTTCGACACAACGACTACTAAGTAAACTGGACCAATTTGGTATACGAAGAATCATTAAGAACTGGATTGCGTCGTTTTTAAATATTCCAACAAGTTGTAATCGATGTTGTACAATAACGTCAGGAATGCCTTTAGGACCTCTAAGGACCTCTTCCTTTCCTAGCATACGTAATTATCTCCCTGGCCTTGTCTGATCTGAATTGAGATTATTTGCAGATAATATAAAACAATAAATTCACATAAGTACTGCAACAATCTACAGAATGATATAAACCTCTTAAAAAAACACAAAAAGTACACATAGAAAACTGGAAAAAGTACAACGTAGAAAGGCACGATTTGTCACAAAGACTACAAGAGAACTAGCACTATACAAAATGATAATTATTTAAAACCCCATTAAACATTATCCATCTATCAAATCGACAACAAGATAGGCCAACTGACAAAATAATATCTTCATAATATGATGTAATCCATGTCAACAAAGACTGCTATAAATTCGCATTATACCAAACACGATACCATTATGGAATGCATTCTTTCTAAAAATAAAAAGTACACCTAATAGAAAACAGTTCATAAAAAAAATATTTAAAAAAATATAAAAAAATAAATATTAAAAATATTTAATAAAAACTAATTTAATCCTGCAAGTGCAGGGCAACTACTTACACGTCAGTAGCACAAGACAAGATATAGATTTATTCGTTTTGGTTTGATCCATATTATTCTGTGGGCCATTTTGGTATTTGTAAATTTAGGTCTTAATTATTATTAATAATCAATATTAACGGTATGCATTGTGGTATACTGAGTAACTGATTGATCGAATCAGTAAAAGATGTAAAAATATTAATTTTAAAATAATACAAATAATACTATTTTATAAATTAACTGTGTGTGTTATTATACAGCATAATGTAAGTATTACTGTTTTATTTTTTTTTACTATTTTTCAATAGTTCTTTACGTCAACGTCAGCCTCAGAAAATCATGGTGAGCCTGTGTGTGTCTTTGATTTGTTTGTATACCACGTTCATATTGGGCGTTGATACAGTAAATCCAAAAACAGCAGGATGTAAAACGGTTGCTGTGTTGTTACACTACTTTTTGCTGACTTCTGTTGTTTGGACAGCTGTGGAAGCAACCAATATGTACTATTTCCTTATACCTGTCTCTTATACACATCTAGATGTGTATAAGAGACAGGTGTGCAGGGAGTTGATAAATGTTTTTTCGTTCGTCGTCAGCTTCTTAGCTGGTAGGCTGCTATTTAACGAAGATAGGTCTTTCCGACAGAGCTCTCTTTCTATACTATTCTTGAAAAATTCTTTCTAAACTATTTGAACTTTCATATTATTAACTGGTGGTCAGAGAATGTGAGATGATTAGCTACAGGTTGTTGAGTAAGTTTCTGTTTGATGTCATGTTAATGTCCTTTAATCCGTTGTCTAAATGTTTGTCTTGTTTAGCCAAATATTACATGAGATAGCATATATATACCAAGTTAGATGACATCCGGTTATTAGTGTCTATTATGCTAAAATTGTTGTTATTAGCTAATTTGACAATGTTGCTGGATTTAACATGTGGACAAAGTTTGTATGTCCTGGTATTGCATAGAAATGTACCATAATTGCTGTTAGTAGGAAGTTTACTTTTAACTAATAGACATAATGTTGTTTCAGATTAGGTTTGTCTTAAAAAATATCCTTGAGGGCGTCATCATGTAAGACATTATCCTTACTGATATGTCATTATCATTATTATTATTATTATTATTATTATTATTATTATTGTTATTATTATTATTATTATTATTATAATTATTGTTGTTGTTGTTGTTAATATCTTTATCCTTTATCCTTATCACTGTTTTTTAAGGAGTCTTTGTGATTCTGACAGTGATTTTGTGGGAATTGTCTAACTATTCGAGGAAAGTTTTTCAGACGTTGGTGGCTGCATTCTTGCTGTACAATGAGTTGTACTAAATTGTATTTCTTTTGCGAGATTGCGATTTCTTCTTGGGTTCTTGTGGTAGTGGTGAAAATTTTAATTTGTAATTGTATCCGCTTTTATCGAGTTCCATAGAACCGGTTTTTACTATAATTGTTGATTAATTCTAGGTTCGAACCAAAGACAATTCCCAGAAGACCACTATGTGCACTGGAGATCATAGTGTCAATAGATTTATGACATCATGCTGCTCTTCCTGTAATAGTGCAAAGTTTCTCTGATGGTCCATTGTCCAACGTGACAACGAAGTGATACAGCGCTAGCTCTACGGACAACGCGTACTAACATAGGCCTATGTTATTTTATTTCTTGTAGGTTTGCCCTGTATACCACCAATGGTTCTACTGTCAATCGATGTGTCATATTATGATAACAAGAAATAGTAAGTATTTCTGTAAAGTGCTGTAAAAACTACGTTTGCGTTCCAATTTCAGGGCTTTGGGCTCAAATTCTTTCAAACACCAGTGGTTTTTCTCACGACCATAAAATCTCAACTCTCGAAGCCTCATAATGAGACTTAGATGGTGTCTGTTTTGATATTATGCTTTGAATTCATAATAGTGGCGGTTGTTGTTGCTGTTAGTTGTTAGACCAATATAATAAAATAAAAATATAAAATTTGTATTTTTCAGTTGTTACCTCAGTGCTACCAAACAGGAGGTGTTCATTTATGCAATTATTATTCCAATTGGAGTTGTAATCCTCTGCAACTCGATCGTATTCGTACTCATCATCAAACAGTTATTCTTCTCGAGATCAATTGCAACGAGAGTGCTCGATGCGAACGAGAAGAAGAAACGTTTGGTAAACACCATTGCCATTTCTTTGCTGCTAGGCCTCACTTGGATCTTCGGATTTTTGACTTTCGAAAGCAATGCTGACACTGTGTTCCTGATTCTGTTCTGCGTTTTTAACTCGTGTCAAGGCGTCGCCATTTTTTACCTTATCTGTTTAAGACAGAAAGAATGCAAAGAAGCTTGGAAGAAATGGCTGGGTATCTGCAAACCTAAATCCTCGTACGATTTTACGCAGAGTACATCAAATAGCAATACTGCAAACGACTCGTATACATTACTTTCGGAGAAGCAGAAACAGAAGGAATTCATTCAACTTCAGTTGGTTGAAAACCCTGCATTTGGAAACACTAATGATGAGGAGAATCAAAATAAATCTGGCGAATAGTTAGACCATGCAGATTAGTAGAAAATGCGTTTCATACATATGGGCATTGTTTTCTTTTTGTAAAATAATGTAAATGCTTCTATTACGCTATGTGTAAAGAAATTGAAATTGAAATGTTATTATACTGTAAGCGTTTTAATGATTAGGCCTGTAAAAGTATATCGAGTATTTCTTAGAAATGTTTGCCAATAATTGAATACCAAGATCATATGATCAATAAAATAATAAACGAATAGAATGTTTTACGTCACAAAATAGGAGGAGCCTATTCTTCTGTAAAATATGAGGAACTTTGTTGCTAGAAAGAAAGTGGAAATCTGAAGATCAAATCAAGAAGTCGAGTGATACCTCAACCGGAGAGCCGTGGCTTTGCCCATGTGGTCACCAGAGTACCTACTAACTCACCGTTCAGCTCCGATCGAGCTGGTTCGGCAGATCGTGTAGGTTGTTGTCCTAATTGAAAGTTAAGTTAGGTTAGTTAGGGGGTGGGGGGAGTATTTTTTCAAGATGTTGAAGTGTAAGAACACTCAGGCCCAAGTCTGATTGACATATGGAATGCTTAATGGTGTTACCTCATCCGGATGTACGATTTGAATTCTGGTCTAAGAGTGAATATGGAAGCTTAGCAATACTCGACTTTTGAATTCGTCGCTAACTAGGCCTACATTTGGACTCCTTCGGTATTGATTCCGATTCATTCGTTTGCATATTCGAGCATTTATACCATCGGAGAGTCGGTGAACAGACTATCATAGTTTAACTTCAATTTGATCTCACGTGAGTAGTTTGAGAATAGTTGAAGTCCCGTTGTAATCCCCCTTTAGGCCCTACTGATATCATAATTGATTGCACAATTCTTAATTAAATCCAAGTCCACTCATGATACAAGTACATTTTCATCTGAAAAGGCACATACGCATAGTTACCAACCGTCTCTCATCGCGCGGGACGGTCCCGCATTTCAAATTGATTGTGGTTGAAACACGCATTTTGCAGAAACACATGCGTGTTCATAAATTTGTCACGCATTTAGCAAAAATCTATGCGTTAACGAATTTTCACGAATAAGAAGAAATTGATTTGAAATTAGAAGAAATTGGTTTTAATATTAAAAATATAAAAACGGTCGGGGAGGGAGAGAACCCCTCCCCCGGTCGGGGAGGGCTGTCCCCCACCCCCCGGGGGAGAAAAAGCACAATTCGTCGGGGAGAAAAAACAATTATATGTATTTTCTACATATAGACTCTAAAATCGATTAAATAAGCCTTTGAAACCCATAAATTGTCAACATTTCCGGGGCTTCGCCCCCGGAATCTCTTTCGAAACCTTTTAATCGAAGCTCCACCACGCCCACTCTGCTTTCGTCGGGGAAATCTGACCCCTCGTCGGGGCATCGGCCCCCACGTCATGGACATCTTCCCCATGTCGGGTAAATCTTGGTGCCACCCCTGCCTGAAATCGATTTAAAACAGCTTTAACATGCACAGATCGTTGGAACGACAGGGGCCCTTGTTCCCTGGACCCCTACCAGGGTTCCGCCTCTGAATCCTGCAAGGGGTGGGGGTGCCTGGCGACCTGCCACCCCCCAACCCCCAACCAACTGGTGTAGTCACGCATTTCAAATCTCTCAGGTTGGTAACTATGCATACGGTACATAAATATCATTTTCCGGAAATGTAGGTTTATAAGGCCCCAATTAAAAAGATATTGGGATGGAGTTGAGAGGATTTGTGGCATTCAATCCCAGACTTCCGGGTCCAAACCATGTCCCTCGTTATAAATATTAACTTCACTCTCGAAGCCTCTTAAAGAAAAAGCATAATTTCATCCTTTAAGTGGGGAGTTACTGTTAGATATGAAAGATTGAAATGATATTATACAGTAAATAAAATACTAAAGGCGATCTTGATCTTTGTGTATTTTTCTCTATTTAACAATAATACCACATCATAAACATGTGCGGTGATAAACATTCTTTGTTGAAATTATCGGTACGTTCGTGTATATGCTTATATCTACATTACTTTACGTTCATTACAATGTGCAGCTTCATATTCTTTATATATACACTACTTGGCATACACGGTACTAGTAGTACTTTGGCGTAAGCAATTGCACCACAATATACTTATTAGTTAAACTACATAATTTGTATCGAATTATTATTTGTGGTTTTTGTTCTTTGGTTTATCACAATTACATTCATTACCAGTTAATTTTTCTAAAAATAGCACAATACTTAATATATTATTAAACATCGTTTGATATTTTTTAATACATCGAAGCATATTGAATTATTCATTTCGGAGTATAATATATATATTTTTTTCAACTTGATTACTGTATTAATAACTCCAAAGAAATCACCAACCTTGCTGAAATTTCACGTTCTTTACATAGCCTACTCTACTGGATAAAACACAATACAAGTCCTTAGATTACGCATGGACGTACATATTAAAGATATATCTCTGTAGGCCCATGGAGGAAATATGTAAGATATATTTCCTATATGGTAGGCCTAATCCATTGAAAATAAATTTACTTTACTGCAGGGGTGGGCATAATAATGGGTCAAATAGCTAAAGTGAAATTTTAATCAAACACTGAGGGCCCCAGATAAAGTAAAAGGTTTTATGGTGAAAATTTGACGTTATGATACTGTAAATTTAACAGGTCATTGATGTCGGTCATAACAAAAAATGTTTCTAGCAGTGGCGTAGCAGCTATCAGCTCTCACTTGCTAACTTCAAGGGGCACAGGCTGTGAATTTCCCCGGGATATTTATCAGCATTTTGCCTCATACATTGGACGCCTGGGGACATTTTAGAGGGAGCTGCACAACGTGTTAAAATAACTCCATCATAATATTGATTATGATTTGACAGAGACAACGATGATGATGATGATGATGACGATGATGATGGTAACGACGACGATGATGAGATCGTGAATGTGATCATTGCACGTAACGTAAAACGGATCGTAATGATAATAAATGATATATTTATTTTTAGATCAGACTTAATGCCAGTAGTATGAATTTACCCCTTCGAATGAATGGTTTTTTCCTGTGTCAACATTATTTCTTAAATCGGGTGCACTTTCCGAGAATGTTTTGTGAAATTGATCTCTTGTGTTACTTTTAGTGAACGAATCTTGAATATCTAGAAGTTTTGTTTGATCTCGACGATGAATAGAGTCTGCTGTCCAATCAAATCGTCTGTCTCTGGCTCCTTGTGGATTGATGTGGCGCGCGTCTACTTGTGAATTACGGTACACGTCATATTCCACCGGACCTGTATATGTTCCTTTGACCCTGAGAGAATTATCTCCAATATCTTGTGGATAGGCAGTTGGAACATCTGTTACTTTGAGGGGCTCGTCACCACCACCAGTAGCCACCCTAACAGTACCATTTATCTGCACACTTTTAGCTGTTGTTGGTAAAGATCGTTTGCTAGTATAGGCCGTCGGTAAGCTTGAACTTAAATCAGCCAGATTTATTTTACCATCGCTTGCTGTCAGTATAGACTTGATCCTATCTGGGTTGTGACTGTGTACGTAGTTAGACTGGGGAATAGGTTTCTGTGCAACCGATTGTTCAAGGCGCGAAATTCCATTTAAAAGTTGATTACCCGTATACTTTGGCATAACATATGCCTTCTTTCCAGGTGATCCTGCAAACTGGTACTTTTCCCAGTCAAATGGATGAACTCTAGATGCATCGGATTGGAGCAAAGTTTCGTCCTGTTTACCCTCTTTGGCATACTGATCAATAATTGCATTCGTTTTATGATAGTCCCACGGTCCGACGTAATCATACTCGTAAGGATTTTCTCCGTCGTAATAAAATGGTGGTTTTGTGCTGTAGATGTTATGAAGTGTATCGTAATAAACAGGCGGGCGTAGCAGTGGCGTTGTGTAATCGACTTTTCTTTTGAGAAGTCGAAGATCATCCCGATGTTCTTGTAACTCTGCCTGTCGCCACCTAGTGTTTTCTGTCAACTCTAACAAGTCTCCAGTGTGTTTCACCAGTAGGTCTTTCATTGGTTCCTTCAGTTTTTCAAGTTTGTCAGGAAGTGGAAGAGAATTCATTGGTTCTCCACCTTCTGCTTGTCTTTGGCGGATATTTTCTGGTCGCGATGACTGTAACTGAGCCTTCTTAGCAGGATCCTGAAAATTGTCGTGTGTCTCCGAAGGTAAGTTAACATGTTCCTTGGCCTGAAAGAACAATTTATTTTACATTAATATTGACATTTATAACTAAACCTACTATTTCTATTATACAACACAGTAGTAGAATTTTCACTAATGGTTATGGTCATATATCACAAATCTGTCTACAAAAAAAAATAAATAAAAATAAATAAATAAATAAATAAATAAATAAATAAATAAAAATGACAATGACAATGACAATGACAATGACAATGACAATGACAATGACAATGACAATGATAATAATGCCAATAATATTAATAGCCTATAACAATAAACGATAATGATAGTAAGAGTAACAGTAATAATAAGCTTACATAAATAGTAATAATGGTAATAATAATGATGAAAATGATATAATAATAATATGCTAATAATAACATGATGATGATGATGATGATGATGATGATGGATGATGATGATGATGATGAGGATGATGATGATTTAAATGTTATGATAGGCCTACATTTTATCAATTACCGTTTTTACGTATCTATTTCTGTCTATGTAGTTTGTGCTGATGTAGAAATAAAATTCATATTGAATTGAATTGAATTGAATAATGATGATGATGATAATGATGATGATTGCGATGATGAAGATTTTCCGTTCTGTAAAATTGATTACATATGCGCTAAAAAGATGCATATAAGTAATTATATTAAGGTCAAAACAATATTATAGTACGTCTAAAGAGTAGACCATTATTTTTTGAAAGGAATCAAGTAGACTATATCATTATTATAATCAGTTACGCTAGATACATAATATGTACATGGTATCGAAATAATATTAACATTAATACAATATTTAAAAAAAACAAAAAAACAAAAAAACAAAAAAAACAGGTACCCTAAATACTGGAAATGCGTTAGTTAAAACATTGGTCCCAGGAAACAGTATGTAGTCAATGGAGCAGAAGAAACCTAGTCTATGTTTTATGAATGAATGAGTGAATGTAAAGCATGTATATATGAATAGACGATTGAGTGCTTGAATGTACGAATGAATGAATATGTATGTATGTATGTATATATATGTATGTATATATGTATATATATGTACATATGTAAATATTTACATATATAAATATATACATATATATATTTATATACATATATATACATGTATATATACTATATACATATATATACGGTATATATATATATGTATATATTTATATATGTATATATACATATATTTATATATATATATATATGAATGGATGAATGAATGGATAGAGAATGAATGAATATATAGTTAAACGATAAAAGGAGGAATAAGTGAGTGAATGAATAAATTGAAAAATGAAGGTATGTATGTATAAATAATTGAGTGAATGAAAGAATGAATTAATTGATTAAATTAATTCATTAATTGATTAATTGATTAAATAAATGAATTAATAAATAAACTAACGAATGAATGAATGAATGAATGGATGGATGGATGAATAGATGAATGGATGAATGATTTACTGAATGAATTAATGGGTGAATAAATGACTGAAATAGATGGATGAATAGATGAATAGATGAATGAATAAATGAATGAATGAATGAATGAATGACTGAATGAATGGATAGATGGATGAATAGATGAATGAATGAATAAATGGATGGATGGATGAATGAATGAATGATTTAATGAATGAATGAATAAATGAATGAATGGGTGAATAAATGAATGGAATGAATGGATAAATAGATGAATGGATAAATGAATAAATGAATAAATGTATGAATGAATGAATGAATGAATGGATGAATAGATGAATGGATGAATGAATGAATGGATGAATAGATGAATAGATGAATGATTTAATGAATGAATGAATGAATGAATGAATGAATGAATGAATGGGTAAATAAATGAATGGAATGGATGGATGAATAGATGAATAGATATATGAATGAATGAATGAATGAATGAATGAATGAATGAATAAATGCATGGATGGAGGAATCAGTGAGCTAGTGAATAATTTCATATTGACAACTTTCCTTATACAAAAGTGGATTTAAGTCGGCGATTCTAAGAACGCCTAATATCTATATGCCAATCTGAGAGTATGATACCGGTAATGATTTGTTAAATTGTCTCTTAGCGATTTATTTCGTGAGATACGGTATTGCGCTGCCTATTTGAATACCGTTTGCTGTTATTGTTTGTAGATTGACTGCATTTGCTTCAAATCTTTGTGTAGGAACATTGAATTATCCGTAATGTCAGAGGAGCCAAATGCTAAACCAACACGTGTAGATGTGTGTGTAGAGAAGAAATGTAGACTACACCTAATTATTACGTCTGAAATTATTTTGGATACATGTTGCAATGTGGTTTAGTAAAACTTTCTTGTTAATAATGTTTGACAATTCCCGGGACTGAAGATATTTTCAAAATCATGATAAATTGATAAATTCAAATTCATTGAATATCCATTGACACTGCTCGAAAGAATAAAATTACTTAATGATTTCTAATGGAATATAAAAACATTCCTTCACTGCATTTCCTTTTATACACAGACAAATTAATATTTTCTTCAATTTTATTGCTTCAAACAAACAAAACTTTAATACAATATGTCATTACAATTATATAAAAATAATATATATATATAATATGTATATATATATATATATATATATATATATATGTATATGTATGTATATGAAATACGATAACAACAGCGGAAGGTAAAGCTACAATATTTATGTATACGAAAGCTATTACGACATAACACAACATATCAATATAACAATCAATTCTTTTATTTGTCATAAAACCCTGTTTTCATTGTTTTTAGCAAGTGTATCGGAAATGTTTACATCTACAAAAACGTATGCTTAGATCATGGAGGAATTTATTCCTCCATGCTTAGATTAGGTTGTTGAGCTGGGCATCGTTACGTGGGTTTGGATCTTAAATATTATTTTTCTTGTAATTATTATCAATAATAATATTATTATTACGAACAAAACGTCACAGCATCACTACCCAGTACACACTGCGCATGTTAGAATATGAAGTCCCGAAATATATGCTGTTTTAAATGTCACGTGACATTAATGTCGTGCGACGTGAAAAACACTCTCCCACCTCTGAGACAACACTTGTGGTCTACTTATAGATAAAATTGCTAAATTGCATGCGCTTGATATATAAACTTCAATTCTAGATAATGCGAATACAGCGTCTGGGTTTTTACGTCAACGTATTCTTTGAAAATCGTATTAATAATAACAACTGTAACAGTTGTTACTATAACTCAAAATTTGCAATATTTGCTAGGCATGTGACTAAAATATAAATTAAATATCAACATGACAGTGAAATAAGATGTGAACGATTGCGTGAAGCTCTCTGGACACCCGTACGTAAACATGGTAACATTGTTGGCTGTGGGAAAAAATATAAAAGAAAAATGTAAATGATACAAGCAACCAGACATTTAATAAATTCCTATAAATACTTTGTGGATAAAATTTAAGTATTTTTATAAGCACGCGTCAACGTAATACAGCCAATCAATGGTGATTTCAGGATATAAGCCTAAGTATAAGACATAGGTGGCGGCACGGTTTGAAAAAGTTGGATAGGCCCAGTTAGCTTCGCGATCGGAGGAGCGAAACTTGATACGGACCTTGGGGCCGCCGAATCACCCCCCCCCCCCTTTCCGGTTGGCGTCCGGGGTCGATGGATGGTACTCGGGAAAAATATGGGTTTTACTTTTTGGGAGACTTACTTGGTGATTTTCTTTATATAATGTAATTTTCTTTAATATTTTCCGATCAAAGTCGCCAGTCACAACCTAATAAAATCGCCACCAGTGACCCATGGGTCGCTTAAATTCGGATGACTTTGTCAAATTTAATATTTAAACTATGTTTTGGCAATTGGTGGGGCCAACAGGAGGAATGTGCCGCCGCCATAAGTATAGGAATAAATGCGGAGTCGAAATTGATTATGACGTCAAACCTTGAAAATGTAATCTTAGGCAACAGGCAACAGAGAATGTGTTTTGACGTAGTGCATTTTCACAGAGAACAAAGTTTTAGTCATTTTGTGATATTAAGCCCAACTCCGGAAGAAAATATTTTCTATGCACTACTGGAATTTTTTAAGACACTAAAGGGGACCTAAATTTTAAATATTCAAACTTTCAGATTCGTATCTGTTCCTGTTTATTTTGTCAAACACCCCTTCAATCTTAGAAATTAAGTCTTAGGCCCTACTGTAATACATAGGCCTATCAATTGTTTTTTTTTCCTCAGGAGCCTGCGTTTAGGGGCCTATAAGTAGGCATCAAACAGATTTGGTAAACTAGTACATTAATAAAAGCACGTGAATTGAAGGTCATGCTATGAAATACACCATTGTTTAAAATAATGACGCATTGTGTGAATAACGTCATTAAAGTTTAATTAAAACCTACACCGGTGCGTACGTCATCATAGAAAGATAGACGTTAATTAAGAGCTGTTGGATTTCGGTGTGAAGATGAATAAGTCTGCGAAGCGTTGATTATTAAAACGATCGGTCAATTATTGAGAGTATGTTTAAATGTGAACCCATCAAGAGCATTATTTCGCAAGCGCATTCGCCCCCACCAATTGATGGGGCATCGTCACAGAAATAGGTAAAAGTTCTGAGTGTTGAAGATGGATAACAATCGGCAATATTCTTCAGCACAGCACACACGATAAAATGTGATTTAGGCTATTTTGTTTGAAAGCCTAGAAGAAACAAGGGTTAGTTAGATAAAATATATCATCGTCTATATGAGGAGGTTTCCACCATAGAATTGTGTACCTGACAAAGTAAGAGTAGTAGAGCCGGGCGTAGATTCGATTTTGAAATTGTGTGCTTAACCACATTAGGTCTACGGTAAATTTTTGGATGCTAGAATTCAAACTGAAAACACAAATAGCTAACTAATTGATATTTGTAGCTGAAGGTAATTAAGTGCTTACCAAACTATGATCCTCGATTCCCGATTTTTTCTCAGCTTCAATTTTCTCATCGAAATTATCAAGCGCTAGTGCATTTGCCGGCCCATAGCCTGTATATTGTTTACTGTATGTTGTCACCCAATGTGAACGCTCGACATTGCGTAGTGCGTTTGCTGTTCTGGGGTTAATCGAATAGTCTAGTTGTCGCGGTGCGTGATTCGGTAATACAGATTTCGGCGGAACTGGGTAAAACTGTTGTTGACCTGAATGTGGTGTTTTACGATTCTACAGAAAAGAAAGAACCAAAATGAATATTTAATTCTAGGCCTATTTCGGTTAATTTATTTAGATTCACACGGTAAAAATTTACATGAAAAACATGAGAAGAAATATCGCAAGAGAAAGATAATCCAGTGCAAACAGGTATCAACACGGTTCTAACAAAAGACAAAGCGATTAATTTGATTGAACAATTTATAATTTGAAAAACATAGCATTGTTTTCTGTCTCATGAATGCACATATTACTTGTCGCGATTTTCTTCACGTCCAAAACAGCTCCACCCTGTAGGCCTAAGCATAATAATGAGATAGTTTATGTAGAGCCTCTTGTGGGTACGTTTGTCTTGTGAATGCATTTTGCCACTTAAACTTAAGCGATTACGTTCACATTATCCTCACTTAAAACAATAATTAAACATTTAAAACAAAAACAAATGTATCAATGTGCTCAAATAATGTGTTATTAGCCTATTATGCCTATCACTTTACCTGGAAGAAAACATCGCCTGGCCACGAAAGTGCCCGCTTCAGCGAATCCGGTGGCAGTTCTTGAATTTCCCAGCGGTGCGCTGAGCCCTTCGACTTGCTTCCTATGGTAACTGCGTACGGATTAGACGGAATTTCATGATGTTTCGGCAGTGTGTGTTTTTGTACCTCGCCAGTCTTGTAGTCGTCTGGCGTTTTGCTGAAACTCGGAAACATTGCATAGCGCGACATGTGTGAGCTGTACGGATGTTCGGCTGGAAACATTCGATCGATTTGGATCGCCCTAAAAAAAAAAAGAAAAAAAAAAGAAAACTAAGACTAAGAGGATTCACACATATCTATGAAAATGTGGCGATTTTTTCGCCATGATCACCTTCTTGGACAGCATAACTACAAACTTGTGTGTATGGTGTGGGACATGTACACGTGTAACACGTTTTGATTGGTCAGTTGTTAAGTTTAAACATGACTGACCATTCGGAAAGGTCCATTTCATCACTGCAACAACGTAATGCAGATGATAAGCTAATAGGTCTAAAATGAAAATAGCGTCTTTGAACATGTTAATAGTCTTAAATTTCTGTAATTGTATAGGAAATGCAAAAAAATCATCCAAAGCTTGATGACTTAAAGTAAATTATTGCACTACCGGCTTATGAGTATTGTTATTATTGTTAATACAGGCATATTCATAGGCCTATTAATAGATATGACTGAAGTAACTTACGTCATGTCACTTTTCTCTGGTCGTGGTAGTCTAAAATTTAATGAAGAAATATAGAAACAAATGAAATATATTACAAGAATGCACAAAAAAAGTGTATTTTTCTTGTTCTGGTACGGAATGATGATAACGATTATTATATTGTATTGTAGGTCTAACCAATATAAAATACGATATTACGACAGCTTGTTTCAACTTCAATTTTCAAAAGACATTTATTTACTTCCATAGAATGTTGAGGTAGCGGTTTAATGGGTACAGTTATTATTGAATCAAAAACTGTAAAAAAATCCAACGTGACGAGCGTGGTGAGGACTTGAGTATCGATCGGTGACGTTATATGGCTATTGGCCCATATCTCTTTATAATGCAAACAATACGCCAAAAGAAAACAGTACGTGTTGCCACTTGGCATTGATTCTGGACCTGATAATTTGCTTGTTCGTAAGGTGATAAATCGTGTTTTTATCACTAGGCTTAATGGGATAGTAAGAGTAGGACCAATGAAAAATCCAATCAAAGCAATTATGAAGACATACTCATTATTAGGATCATTATGGTTTCGTGTTAAGTTCAGGCCTATCGTTGAAAAGTCTTCAAAATAAATATTTTAATGAAATATTATTATTCTGAATCTATTATAGGCCTATTTGTTATGATCATTTTTAATGATACAGTGTGCTTCAAGATTGAACAAACACAATGTAGCATTGTGGAATTGTTCTTAAACCTTCTTTGGTCGCATATTGAATTCATATAATAATTTTAAAAAATCTAATTGTAATACTCTTTGATTTGTCTTCTATTGCCATGATCATGTAAATTTTATATTTCGTCACGAATGAATCTTCAATTTCTCAAATTAATAATGAAACCTATAATTCTGTAGCATCACTTTTATTCTGTACTAGCTTTTGCATTAGAAAGAAATAAAATAAATGTACTCACAGTTGATCATTTGATCTGATATTGCTCTTCTTGAGTTTTGTTAAGTTGTAATATTGTTCAATTGGCAAACCCCTAAAAAGATAAACTCACAACACTTAGCCTAGCTTTGCAGTAATTTTTACTGTTTCAAATCGATCAGACGGTTCTTTAAATGTTTCGCCAAAACCTAACCTAGTCAGGGGCGACGGAAAACGGGCCGAACCCCTCCCCCCACCCCGTAAATCCGCACCTGAAATAAGACAAAGGTTAAAAGAGAACTGAACAAAATATACTATACAGTGATATTTAATATTAATCTTAAACTATTACACTTAAAGACAATTAAAAATAATCTAAATAAAAGTACCGGTAAAACAGAAACGGGTAACAATATTAGGCCTACATTGTTATTTCTTTTATGGTTTTCATGTGTTACACCAACAGTATATTATTTAAAGCCGGGAATATTTAAAAACTGGGGAAAAGGTGGAAAAGGGGTGATAACGTCCCTTTTTCCCACAGTTTTTAAATGTTTTAAAATCTGTATCTAATTAACGTTAAATTTCGTCAAATGCTTTTTGTGTCTCCGCAAAAGCGATTGTACAGCATATCATTTTTTTTCCTCCGGAGCCTGGCTTTAATGAGCACACGGTTAGAAAATAATTTATACTGATTGCACACTATTTATTTAAATGTAACTGGTGTTTCTGGTGAATTTTACATTAGGCCAATAGAATACTCTGCTCAACTCTAGGATTACGCTGTAAATCATTTCGAATGCAGAGACTACAGTAGATATTAAATACATTTAAAATAAAATCTTTCATGATCATATGTTTATATTTATATCACATCGATAAACTGTCATTCCATATACAGATTTTTTGAACTAGATCGCAAAAATACCGTACCAGAAACATACAGGTAACTCATTATTGACATTTTGAGTAGTACTGACAATAATTCAGCGTGAATAATCTATACTATTGCTAGTAATTCTAACTAAATTTCTAGACTGACATATATATCTACATTGACAAGTACTGTTTGCAATAGGCTATCCGATTCCTCCCTAGCAACCGTGATTAGGCTTAGCTTACGTATAATATATAGGGTGAAGTTTGTTGAAGAGCTTCTGTTTCTGGTCTGGAGGTTGGTAAACCTTCGGAAGCTGCGGCAGTAAAGACGTCATATTTGAAACTCCTAAATTTGAGTTTTCTGATCAAATCACAAAGAATTGTTAGAAAACTCAAAGAAACTGAGTTTCAACACTCTCCCATAGACACTGGAACTCCAGTTAACCCACAAGCTTGGTTTCCATGGTGCATGTAAATAAAAACTTCATTGACTGACCCCAGTCACGTGATAAAAGGGGCTTACCCATTGACTAAAGTGTACGGCATTAAATACCTGCTGGTGTCGCATGTCACGGTCTACAAATTAATACAATGACCGCCACACGACATTTTGTTGTCAAAAGCAAAGTTACTAAATATATAATCCCAAAGGGTTGCAACCTTGTCATACAAATTTATCAGGAAATTTCCATTCATGGGTGTCCTGTTTTAGACTACATGCCGGTACCATGCCTGTCTCTTATACACATCTAGATGTGTATAAGAGACAGGTATATTCCAAGCCTTTGATGTCGACTCCACTTTCTGAGCAGCCACATTTCCAATGCTTTTATCCTACACTTTTTTTTTTATATATATATAGAACCAGTGACATTTTGCCCAGGCTCAATGTTCTTATTTTTTGGCCGATTTCAGGATCAAAATTTTCTTTTGTTCTTATACCTTTACACACTTTTCAAACATACCAAATTATTACTGTACAGCAGCATATTACTGTTCTGTATTATAGAGTGTATGACATAGTCACAACAACTGCAATTGAGGTACAGATGAGATTTTTGGGTTTTTTTTTTATTTACAAAAAATAAAAACATCATTTAATATTTTACGTACCTCAGCTTCAATTTTTAAGCGATTTCAGCCTCAGTGTTCTTTTAAAATGTGTTCTTATTTTTTTTTTTTAATGTGTATCAGCCATTTGAGTCGTGATAGTCCAAGTTCCAGATGCACAGAGTAAAGAAGACCAACTTTGGGTTAGGCCTAATTGTTCCTCACCACGAACCACAACATATATTATTGATTATTCAATGAACATTAGGGCCACGTGAGCATAAACGTGCTTTATCTTTTATTTTTCGATATGCAGCAGATATAATTAAGTACGTGGGCGTGTCTATTTAATTGTTTTTCTTCTGTTGGCCGATAAAAATTAAATCGTGCAGTAAAAAAAAACACTGGGCGTGTCTATTTAATTGTTTTTCTTCTGTTGGCCAATAAAAATTAAATCGTGCAGTAAAAAAAAACACCTCGATAAAAGAACGGTGGATCGAAAAATGTATTGCACACATATAATTATTGCACTTACTCACCCACCTGCTGGTAATTGGTACATCCATTCTAGCTGAAAATGTTTTTGAATTCGACGCCTTTTCGAAGTATTATTAAACAATTGATTAATTAGGCCTACTTATGAAACTTAATTATGATTATTATGTGCAAGAATGTCAACTTGCTCATTAATAATCATGAGGTCAGACCTGCACGACTTGTTTTGTTAATTGGTTACCTTGGATATGGATCAGTCCCAGATCCAAAATGCCGATGGCCTTTCTCAACTGCAGTGGGCGGTTCACTCTTAGGACGATGTTCGTCGGGGAGGTTGATGGGCCCTTCACCAGCATATTCACGATGCATACCCCATGGTACTCTCGGTGTTTTCTCAAGAAGTTCTCGATAGTGGCGGTACCTGAAACAATACGAATGTAATCTTTGAAAATATATAATTTGGAACGCTCGCCTTAAACTCTTGTACATGCCATTATCTAGATTCTTATTCCTCCATGGTTAATTGATCGCAATGAAACACTATACTGGTATTAACAGATACGTACTTCAATAATGTACAGGTAAAGGCTTACTCAAACCATATTTTCTCTATGCTCAAACCACACTAAGGCCCAATAAAAAAACAATTAGTTTATCACCCTCGCGCGCAGGCCTTCCATGTATTGAGAAAAAAATATATAGCCTATATTTTAAAAAAATGTTTAGATCTATTTTTCTTTTCTGGTACATTGATATTTAACTTTGAAGATCAATGCACCAGAGAGCAATCCAAGGGTGATATTTGGCTTTAGCAAAAAAAAAAGTAAACATAAAAATCCTCCCTCCATCATCACTTTTCCAGCCTAGAAACGGTGATAAACTAATAATATTTTATAGGGCCTAATGTACGGTGTTAGAGATGAAAAACTAATCATATGCAGGGGCGGATTCAGCCTGTTAAGAAAGGGGTGGGGGCGTAAGTGCAAGTGGAGCGAGTCTTGAGACAGACCCCTGGTAAAGGTGCAAGGGGGACGAATCCTCCTTGAAGCAGCTCTGAAACCTTTGCTAATTTGTGGGTGTATTTGATAAATTTTTAAATGATAATTTTCTGATAAATAAGCTTTACAAGAATTGTTTTACAAAAACAAAATACGGTAGTGGGTGGAGGGAGTAAAACATAGTGGGCGGGGGGTACGCCGCTCACCTATACATCCACCACCAAATGGTATTGAATAATGGTAGGCCTACATGTAGGCCTATAGCCATTAATTTTGTATTATGTTTTATTTTTATTAATGATTATTTTTTAAATGTTTAAATGCTATTGTGCTCCCTTTTTATTATAATATTAATAATAATAATAATAATAATAATAATAATAATAATAATTATTATTATTATTATTATTAATATTATTATTAATATTATAAATCCACAAATTGATAGATGATAATAATACAGTAAAAATAACGAGAACAATATTAATAACAAAAACAATAATAATGATACTATATATAAATAATAATAATGGTGATGATGATGAGGATGATAATGATGATGATGATTATAATAATAATAATAATAATATTAATAATATTAATAATAATAATAATAATATCAAATATACAGAAATAAAGAATTCAGTCATAAGGTATGGAATAGGATATTATATACTCACTATTTCTAACAACAATAACAATAGTTTTAATGATACTGATACATGTACAATATTCAAATATTAAAATGCCCGAATATATTAGCTTTACACAACCAATCGTGACGCCATAGAGTCCGTGATTATTCTTCAAATGTTTCTGGAATTTCACATGACGTCAGTTACATTACTGTGAATTTAATCTATTGATAATGACGTAGGTTTTGTTTCGTTGCTAAAAAAAAAACAATAATAATGTCATGATGCCATATTTCTCTTCCGGTTGGGTTGCTCTCTTTCTGGAATCACCCATTCCTGCATGTTCAACAGTCATAATGTAGAGTTTTATTTATAACAATTCTTGTAAAAAAATGTGTACAGTATTTTGGAAATTATTTTATCTCAATTTTTGTACACTTGGCCAATTTCAGAGATGTTTGAATTGGCGCATTATACATTTATAACAGCTATCGTTATTATTGCTGCTACTGCTGCTGCTGTTGTTGTTGTTATTATTATTATTGTTATTAACGTTATTATTATTATTATTATTAATATTATTGTTATTATTATTAATATTTGATTAATAATCTGGATTATTTTTCGTTTGGCGCATTTGATAAATATTATCAATAATGGTAATGATAATAATAATAATAATAATAATAATAATAATTAATTTATTATCATTATTATTATAGAGATAAATACGGTAATAATAATAATAATAATAATAATAATAATAATAATAATAATAATAATAATAATAATAATAATAATAATGATAATAATAATAATAATAGTAATAATAATAATTTGGTATACGTTACTACTAGAGGCTAGCATACATCTTATGTTTACTGTGTTCATGCAGCAATTCACAGTACAATACCGTATTGAATATCTATCCACTTAGTCCTATAATAAATCAAGCTGTATACGCGACACCAGTCACATTGTTTAAACAATAATTGTCTAGTCAAATCTAAGAGCGTATAACTTGCACGATCGATCACGCCTTCAATCAATGAGTCTGTATTTACCATCGAAGTAGACGTATGTCAGTCAAATTATTGAATTGCTATTTTAAGATAAAAGTGCCAAGGTACTCAAGCTAACAGCACAAACAGTTATTAATAAACATTAACGACCATTCCGTGTAATACAGTAATCGTAAACGTACAAATATTGCATCTGTCTCTTATACACATCTAGATGTGTATAAGAGACAGGGAGTGCCCTTAGGCCTCTTTTTGGGACAGCACGCTTGCCTATTAGATACGCACGTATTCCTGGCTCCTGTTCTGATTGGTCAGTTGTTAAATTTGTAGTGGCGGATCCAGGAATTCAAAATACAGAGGGCCCGTGGAGGTACTTTTACGGATGGATGATCTATACCCCTCAGCCCCACCATGAAAATTTGTGATTATGGCACATCTACTAGATGGCCGGAAATTGCACTCGCAGACTATGAATATAATGTTCTTTATATCTTTGTTTTTTCTTATATATAGGCCCCTATATATAATTTAGGGGGCCCGTGCCGGCTGCCCACTACTCCCACCTTGAATCTGCCACTTATTTGATTGACTCTACGGAAAACTCCATTCCAGATATTGCGATTTAGTAGTGTAGTATTGTGCACAAATTTGGAACAATAAATTTCCTTATTGAATAAAAAAAAGCGATAAAATTGTATATTTTATCGCTTAATCAAATTTCTGTAGTAATGAATTTCTGCGACGCTATTTGGCAGCGGTTAATGAATATATATTATATTTATGAACTACGGTATATTGTGAATGTAAATAGTATGTTGACATGGCAATAATTACTAAAATCGACAAAATTAATAAAATCGTTAAGTCTCCATAAGTGTGATCAAGTGCGCGCAAGTAGGCTGTCTAATCATCTGTATCTATTTGGTCTGACACGCAAAGAGGGAGACAAGTGTTTGAACTGCCGTTGCTGAGTACAGAATGAACGAGACTGTCGGTAGGTGCCAGGAAGACCCTTGAAAATAAGGGGTATTCATGTACATAAGTTTTTGTCCAAGGTCCTTATAAAAGCTTACTTTCGCCATTGCCCAGTGGCTTAATTATTTGACTTTATCCAGAAATATTTCTGCAAACGTATTTATCTCTAATTAATAAGTAAGCATAAGCATAATAAATATACTTATAAGTATAAGTATAATTATTACACTTATAGGCCTAAGTAAAAAATATAGTATATTTAATATGCCTATATAATACGGTATTCAGTGAGGGGTGCAAAAATGATCATGGACAACACGGTTGCGTCTACCAGAATTCGAAAACAGGGCCTATTACGACCAATTTGATTACCTGGTAAATGTGCAATATTCATTTTTCCATAGGCGCCAAACACAAGTATCCCTACACTGTAAAAACAGCGTGGAGAATTTAAAATTATATTCAATCAATGACAACACGATAACGAAACGACGACATAGCACATTGTTTGTATTCTTCAACACTCGGAGCATTTGTATCGTGTCGTGCCGTAATCGTGTCTAGTGTAAATGTAGCTTAATGGCGATTGTAACTCTTTTTGGTGATATTGAAATTGATTTATTAAAACAATGAAATTCATAAACTCACAAAAATTATGAAATGGCAGGTAAACTTTTTAATAGGCCTAAATATTGTGAATTATTTTTACTATACTGCACGGAAAAAACGCAGTAATACTTACAATACTTTAGCATTATGTACTATTATATTTTACCAAAGGTTACGAGACAGAGTTAAACCTTAAATAATGTCTATGTTCAGCCAATAAACTTAAACAATATAATTCAATATTCCTGATGATGACATCCGGGCAACGGATCCTTTCAGACTGCCATCAACAATCGCGTCGTCTGCGTTCACAGGGAGCGGAGTTGGGTTCGTTGACGACAGCCGTAGAACCTACAACCGTCCTACGGAACAGTGAGTGCCCGGCTTTAAAATAAAGTTTAAATTTAGGCTCACTTATTGGGTGAGCTCATATTCATAAAATCATGGATGTTAAATTTTAAGGATTCTAATTATCCTTTGTTCGGAGTGGGACTATCTTAAGCCTGTCTCACATTATCGCGACCTAACAATGCGACCGTACCGACCTACGGTCGTATCTGACCGGAAGTAGGACCTGGCGACCAGTACTGACCACTATATTTTTTTCAACACGTTGAAAACTCCGCGACCATCGACGACTCTCTTCAACACGAGCAAGTTGCTCATAGCAGCTCACACTGGTAGGTGTCGGTCGTATACTGATCGCAGTGCATAATAGGTCGTGATAGTGTGAGAGTTGCTAGGTTGGAAATCGCAGGTCTTGAATACCGTGGATTTAGAATAAGACAAGTACTGTACCTCAACGACCCCAGCGATATGTACTAATATTTGGTTACATAGGTTCGCAGAATGTCTTCCACGTCTGCATTCATATATCGTACGGTAGAGATCGGTTCGTTTACAGTTTTTAATATCATGTCGTTCTGTATTGTATTATTTTATTCCTTCATGTTATTATGAACTTCAAAGCAGAACCAATACAGGCATTAATTCATATATGTGAACTCACAAAGGATCAGTTTCTCGAGTATCCATGCCTACGACAATAATACCTCCACGAATTACCGGTAATCATCCTGATATTAATATTATTATTGGCGTGTGTGGCTGAAAAGGACGTTATGTTCATATTGAACAAGACAAAAACGTGTCTGTATGTACATTTAAATTTAATTTTAGATACCCGATTCACATAATGCTAAATTGTATTTTCACCCTACAACATACCCCATTCCTTCCTCTAGCGCCACATCTGTACTCCTCTATGAGGGATGGAGAGTACACTAAGTAGAATTTTAAAATAATTTAGCAGAGAAGCTGGAAATTTGTTTTCAGTCTGAATACCCTGGCCCTCATAGAACAACCAATTCATTATAATTAAATCCATCTAAAAACATTGCATATACCAGTAGGAATATATTTATAATTATATAGACATTATAATAACCTTTCCCCGTCTTACTACTAGGCCAAATATATAAACAGTTCCAGCAATAATAATCATTATAAATATAGGAACGGTATCTACCTAGGCATATATATATATATATATATATATATATATATATATATATATATATATATATATATATATATATATATACACAC